CACTCTTAGTCGATCTCTCTGTCTGAGTAGTGTGGTTAGCTCCTTACTCGCCGTAGCTTGATCTACTTCTATCCCGTTGGTTATCACCTGTATCACTGTATTCAGCGTATCATCCAACCTTTGCTTGCGTGCAAGTTTTAGTGGGTCTTGTTCTACAGCATGCACTCCGTAAGCGACCTCGGGCAATTCAGGCTCGTCTTCTGGTCTCGATAACAAATCTGCCAAGACATTTTCACTTCCAGGAACGTGTGAGATGGTAAAATCGTACTCCTGAAGACGCAACATCCACCGTGACAATTTCCCCCGTGGGTCTCTCGCTGTCTTCAAAAATTGTAGCGGCTTATGATCAGTTTCGATGTGGAACCGCCGGCCGAGTAAATAAGGTCGCCATTTGTCGACTGCCCATACCATTGCTAAACATTCTTTCTCTATCGTTGAATACTTTCTCTCTGTGAGTGTTAAAACCCGACTGGCATACTCAACGATTCCATCACCTTGTCTTAGGACCGCACCTATGGCGTAGTCACTGGCATCTGTGCACACTGTAAACTGTCTTCCAGGTACAGGTAGTTTTAGCGTCATTTGTTGGTGGTCGAACAGGTGTTTAATTCTATCAAATGTCCTCTGCGATTCTTCCGACCAAACAAACTTCGGCTCACCTAGTAGCCTGTATAGAGGGGCTGCTATCTCATTGAAGTTCTTCACGAATCGACTATAAAACGCCGCTCTACCCAAGAATTGCCTCAATTTCCTCTTTGAATTCGGGGCTGGAATTGTTTTAATCGTCAAAATTTTCTCCGGTAGTGGTTTAATCTCACCATTTCCTACTTTATGTCCTAACAGAGTAACATTCTTTCTGGCTATCTGGGACTTGATTTTGTTAATGCGCAGTCCAAACTCTTCGATGCGTCGCAGCACGGCTTCTACATGCTTCACATGATCGTTTTCGTTTTGACTGTATATCACGAGATCATCACCATACACTTCCACGTTTTTCAAGTTCCTAAGTAATAGCGTCATCAGTCTTCTGAAGGTAAACGGTGCACCTGCTAGTCCAAACGGCATGCGTTTTAATCGATATTGTGTCTGGCCCACGCTGAATGCCGTCTTATCTCTATCACCTGGTTTTATCGGTATCTGCCAGTACCCTGAGCGAAGATCGAAAACGGAAAACACATTCGCGCCTTGTAGGCGGTCTAAAGTTTCCACCACTGTTGGCATGGCACACGGTTTTAACTCTGTCATACTGTTTAATTGTCGAAAGTCAACACAGAATCTATACTTCCCATACGCTTTCTTTACTAACAGCACTGGAGAGTTGTACGGGCTATCAGCTTCTTCAATAATATCGTCTTTTAACATCTCTTGCACTTGTCGCTTCACTTCGCCTTCCAGATGACATGGTATTCTTCGCGATGTAAATGACATTACTTTTGGATTAGTTAACGGAATTTCATGATTCACCTTGTCGCAATAACCGTATGGATCGCCATCTCCAGTGAACAGATGATCGTATTTCTTAACTAAATCTGTCATGTTGTATACCGTCGACAGGTTCACCGCTGCTATCTCGCTGGTCTCATACATTTTGATACGCCCGTATTTCGTGACCACCACTTTCGCTTGCGTGTCAATTATTGCACCAATCTCCCGCAGAAAATCCGCTCCTAATATCGTTCGCTGTAGTTCGGGCACAACAATGAAAAGAAACGTCACCTCGCACCCTCCAACAACAATCGTACAGTTCGACCTACCCGTTATACGCAACACATGCCCGCCTACTGTTTGTACTGTCAACGAACACGGACTAACGCTCTTACATAAATTCTTATCTATCAACGACACGGCCGCTCCTGTATCTACTAAGCACACTACTTCTCGATCATTTACTCGCAACTTCGAATACATAGCCCCTTTCTCAATCGCCCCCACTAAGTCTAGGTTCATACGAAAGAAAGAACAAGCATTATACCGTCTGAAATTTTTCCTTTTCTGTCTTTCTGGGCAGTCTCTTCTCCAGTGTCCTGGCTTGCCGCATTCAAAACATCGGTTTTTTCTATTACCCAACTTTAACGCCGCCACTTCCCGCTGCAATGCTTCAATTTGCTGCTCATATTCATTTGGTTTCGGCTGCTCTATAGCGGCTACAGTCGTGCTCAGCAGCTGTCTGGTCACCTTCGCTAGCTCACTAATATCCATCGGTTGCGTTGCGTTAACCAGTTTTAACTGCTGAGAAATGTGGTCTGGTACACTCTCGATGAATTGGGAAGATTGTAACTGCTCTTCTGATTCTTTATCCAACGTGGGAAGCGCCCGTCGAAGTAAATTCGTCAATTTCACCGCCAATACTAACGGGTCTCCATCAGGTCCCAGCCTCGTTGATCGGAACTGCTGCATCGCTAGCTGTCTGTCTGTTGCGCTGTCGAATTCCGACACCAAATTTTCAACCAATCTCTTCCAAGACACTGTGCCGTTTGACCGGTCTACGCTGTCATATGCCGCCTTCGCTCGGCCTCTCAACAGCGTCCCCAGAACAAGTGCCTTCGCCGCCTGCTCCTTGACACCCACCAGCTCAGCTACGGCTTCGAAATCACGTAGGAAGCTCCGTATGTCTCCCTCCTCAAACGCAGCTGGCCACGGGATCTTCATTTTTCCGCAGGCAGCGACACCAAATGTAACAACAGAAGACAAGGCTGGCAACAGATCAGATCTATTACGAAAACCAGCAGGTATTTATATGTATTTTACGTACATTAATAAGGCTTCTGCCCGCAGAAAGAAGGCGGTCTTCTGATTGGTTGTTTGCAAACAAACGCAGTCTTCTGCTTTCTCGTTTTCGATATTTTTCGGAAATGCGAGCCACTTGTCTGCGAATCATATTTGTCCACGTTTAGGTCAGCTGTGATTGGTTGTTGAATCAGCCTAGATTAATTTCTACCAATCAGCTTAGATCAATGTCTACCAATTGGCTAGCAGCTTGCTCTCACCACAAGTGGACAAAGAATCTGTCTCTAAACCTTACTTCCATAGCTTTTAAAAATGTTGGACACTACGTTCACGTGATTCCAAGATAATCCTGCAAACTTTCTTTGTACAAATGCACACAATGTAGCTTCAAGTTAATAACAAAACGCGGGAAGTCAATGAACGCAAACACAATAATAGGATAAAGTGACGCACACCTCAGGTGTTTTTGCACACCTGGCCATGACGGTGCTCAAGTTATTCAGAGCAAGCAAAGTACTAGAATGTGTTGTAGTGTGCATTTATCTCAGTTAAACTTTTTGAGAGAAAACAGCGAATGTTTCAAGTGTTCGCAGATCATAGTGCAAATTCTGACGATATATGAACACTGATTTTTGCTTGTATCCATGGATTCCATTGACTTTTAGTAATCTCAGTACCACACGGAAGTGCACAAGTAAGAATTCAATATCAGCCATATTTCTAGGTTCCTGCAACCAAGATAGGTGCTGCACAACAGCCGGTCGGAAAATTTCCAACCGCGGACAGGTTCCCAGCCAGCTACAGAAATGTTTTAAAAAGCCAGCCGCTGAAATGTACGCGGAGCATACTCGGCATACCAAATAACATTGCATGAACCATATATTTATCCGTTTTGTCCCACAAACCATACACCCATGCTTAAGCACAATATCAAACAATAACTTTCGTATAAATCCACCCAACAAGAGTCATATAAGCGTCGGATCACGTCAACTGAACTCGCATAGGCAAGACAACGTAAACCAGCTCCAACTCGAATCACCTAAACCGCACAATTCTGACAAGATGAAGCAGGTGGCGACACTTCAAATATGGGATATGCCATATAATCGCCCTAAAACCTCCAGTTCACTAAAGAAGACTTTTCCTGCAGCAACTCTAAGAGTGATATTCTCTAGCCGCCCACTGCTTCGGAGCAATGTGAAAGATAGGCTTCCACATATGACCACTCCAATGTGCATATATCAGTTCACCTGCACACGCGGAGCTAGTTACATAGGTCTTTCTATGCGGGTCCTATCAAAACGTGTTAGAGAACACTACGAAGCATGGCTGCAAAGAGGAGGCACTGGTTCAATCAAGAGCGCCCTAATATAGCATTTCGGCAACACCTGTCACAGCATCTCAACTGACTCATCATTCAGAGTCATTTACAAAGTAAACGAAAATCCACCAAAGGCAGTGTGTTTCCAACTTCTTTGTACTTCAGAGCCCCTCGCCATATGCCTCGGGAAACCGGAGCTGCGTGTTCAAAAGAAACTGGTCCGACACCTACATTTACCATGAACCTAACTCGGTTTGTCTCCTTTGGTCCCGCTTTTTCGTCCACTTCGTTTCCTTTTTTCAGTTTTAAAATTATTATTCTTCCAATTCGTTCCCATGCTCACCCCATTCACAGCTCTAGCCGTTAAAAACTGTTTTCCAATCCTGCATAATTTTGTTTCCAAGCCCTTTGTTATCCATATTCACACCTTCTAACTTTCATATCAATTTAAAACTAAAATTATTTCTCCAGCTATCAAATATTAATTCTACATATGTTATAACTGTTTCCTTATCCTATGTAATCTTGTCTCTAAGCCATTATAATCTATATTCACACATTCAGACCTTCATACCAAGTTGAAATCTATTATGATCCTTAATCATCTTCGTTACTACGTGGAATTAAACAAATAACCATTGTATCTGTGTAAACTTATGTATATAAATGCGATTGTACAGCTTCTGGGAATGAAATCGCCGAAAAGATATCTTTTCTGAACTTCTTCTTTTCCCTCTAATGTCCCGATGGGTATGTTCCACTATTTAAAAAGGCTTTTGATGCGAATAACAAATAAAAAGCTTAGGTCACTTCCCAACTCAAAAGTGCCACTCCCAACGTCGAACCACCCAAAGTTTATAGTCGAAGGAAATGCCATTACTTTAACACCACCACTCACACAAGAGGGGAGCTTTTGTCTTTTGTTTTACTGTATATACGTGCTCATTAAGGCCTTGAACGTGTCCAGAGGTTTATACATTCATTTGCGTTGCAATGGCAGGCGCTGAGTACATCAGGGTTTGTGAGGATGAGGACGAAACACCTGTTGAAGTTCCGATAGAGGATGATGGCACAGTACTGTTAACCACACTGAACTCTATTTTCCCCAAGTCAACTGGCCTTAAATACTTGGCTCCTGAGTCAGGGTGTTATAGAGGCGTCAGACTAAATGAAGGAAAGCTGTTCGCCCCGTCAGATGGATGGGTACATGTTTATCAGTGTGCATTTCCGAAAGGTATAGCTCCTTTTTAATTGTGTACAGAAAAAATGTATGTAGACAATAAACGCAAAGGCAATGAGGATCAGAACTCTTTGGTATCCAAATTTAAAAAGCTAGAAGATAAAAAATGCACTGATCTGATTGTTTTGAACTTGGCATGGAAGACTGATGAATCTACACTCAGAGAATACTTTTCGAGGTACGGTGATCTCGTGACGGTGCAGGTATTCGGTTTTATTTCTCCATATCGTTTTTCTCTAGATCAAACGACATCCAGGGTCCCATTTAAGCAAAGGGTACGGATTCATCCGCTTTAATGATGTAGAATCCCAAATCATGTGCTTGTCTGAACGTCACAGTATTGATGGCAGGTGGTGTGATGTAAGGATACCCATTTCCAAAGTGAGTGAAAAGTTCATCTAAACTCTTTAGTCTGAGGGGGATCGTCAGGAAGTAAGTCGAAAGGTACACGTTGGTGGAATCACAGAGTCAATTACAGCAAATGTTTTGAGAGAATATTTTTCGCGTTTTGGAACAGTGAGTTCTACTTTCATTCTTCATTTTCATAGGTGATTGATGTCTTCATTCCGAAACCATTTCGCTCATTCGCGTTCGTATCATTTGAAGATCCTGAAGTTGCGGCTGATTTACTGGGCAAAGACCAAGTTATAGAAGGGGTGTCTGTTTCTATTGGATCGGCTGTACCTAAGCTGCCTCCCCAGCAAAACAGACAAAATCCGTCCATGTATTCCGGTTCTCACTATGGGAATTCTCACAACCCATGGGGTATGTTATTCATATTGTTGAGCCTCACCATTCTTATAGCCTGGCCATATCCTTCAGTAATGAATGGTCCAAATCCACGCGATTTTAATTCTGGGATGTACAATTCTATGAATTCTATGCACAATTACAATATGGCACCTCATTCACCAATTGGAAACAATTTTTCACCTTACCAAAGGCAGTACACTTCGAATGCAAACAGAATCAATATGTAGACATGGTATGTGCACATATTTCCGCGCAACCCGTTTGCTTTGTAATTTCAGGGTGTGGTTTTGAGGTGTTAGCCGAAACAAATGTCATCAGGTCGAGCCACATTCTGGGCTATAATTTTACCCAATCGCCCATGCTAAAGTAGGTGGAACGGAATTCAAAACCACATTTCAGTGGTTGCAAATCAATTGCTTAAGTCTGAGTATATAAGCAACTAGTTTCAAAAATGTTCATTTTAGGTGTACAAAAGTGGGATTAATGGTGTTTCTCGTACCATTTGACACAACCCTGCTAATTAGTTAGTACCTACGAGTTAGGCACCTAGCACTTGCCATATCAAGTCACAGAGCTACTCTATAATGGTTTTGTCAACCACAAATCCCTAACTTTTTCCGGTTTATTTAGTCACCTTTTCTATCGATCACTCACTTTAGTATTTGACTATTAGGTCCAGGGCCCGAATCCTGCTCCTCTTAATGCAGCCTGGGAAACTTGATAGCAGTTGTACTGAACGCAGACATTTGCTGAAGTCTTCCAGTCTGACAGGTCGACTGATTTAAACATCAAACTCTGCACAGAAGTGCAGCAGTTCGAGTTGCCACATCCCATGTAGCACCCAGGTGTATGAATAAAAGGAAGGAAAATAGATTCAGAAGAAATATGATGGAAAACAATGATAACGTGGAAAACATGGAGAAACAAGATGGCTGAGTGGATATGGGAGGTCGCACAGAGTGAATGCATCTACGCCATTTAGAACAAGTTTAAACCATATCACCAATTGTGTCCAGCCATTGCTTCCTAATATCTCCACCTGCCAACTGCTCAAACTACGCCTTCGTACCTGGTTTAGATTATGTTAGTGATTTCATGAACTGCAACCATTTTTCCACTTGACCACCACTATCTCTTTTCCAGCCTTATCCGATGCCAGCTAGCGTTGCTCGTCGAGGAAGGCGATGGCTGGGAATTCCCAACACATGTCCTAGACATCTCAGTTGATATGGCTTCATAGCCTCATCGACTGGCTTTGCCTCCTAACCTAACATTCGGCGCCTAACCTTAATATTACTCACCTAATTATGCCATCTAACACGGAATATAGGATGAAGAAGGACAGCTAACGTTTTCATTTGTCTCGATTCCAGTGGCCATGTCTCAGGAAGGACAGAGTGAACCATTGAGCTAGACAGTACACACGTTCTTCGATCGATAGCCAGTCGGATATCATGTCTGTGGTGTAGATGGCGTAAATTGGCGGGTTCCACAGAAGTGGTTTACGCATCCGTGCTGAGATTCGGTCAGCAATCAGTCGGTTAGGGTTGATGCAACTTCACAAGTGAGTGAATTGTCCAACAGGCTGTACCGCTTCGCTCCCTAATATTGAATCTAGAAGTTGGTGTAGTCCAATCTTGTAGCTGTGTCTTACATTCGACAGGAGCATATTGCATGCCAAACATTCGAAGATTTTGTCAAGGTATTCATAAGACTCTTCATTTTATTAGCGTCTAAATGTAGGAGGACAAAATCATCCAAACATCCTAAGTCAGTAGGACTTTCTTGGTAACAAATCGATTCCGTGGTGGCTGAAATCAGTTGGGGTCAATTCCATTTGTATACCTTTGTTGAAATTCAACAAGAAGTGTCACAGGAAGGGCTTTGACGCACCACTTTTTTTAATCACTTCAGATGACAATTCCCCATAGGTTATTACTTGGCTGGGTGAAACACACACTGCCTGTTAGGAAAGGTTTTTAAGATAATGTCCATATCATGATCTTACTGCTTTAGAGTGTTATGTTGTAGAATTTTGGGGTTTGGCCTGTTTTGACCCCCTTTTCCAGAGTAAAGAGGCAGGATAGTTGACATGATAGTCATCTGAAGGAAACACCTTACTGCCTTTACACCCCCTGTCCTGCAACAGTAAATAACTTACACCATACTGGTAGCTGCTTTTAGTCGAATCGTCATAACAACATTTCTGGTGTGGTACGAACATTAGTTCTAGCCGGTGTAGCTCGACCACCACGTCCAGGTAGCAGATTTCGATCGATCTGACTCATCCTAATTTAGCCTGGGAATTTGGTTAGTGTCATCAAACCTTAGTAGATTAGTATGGCTCTTAACTTGATACTTGAATGGCCTGTTCTAAATAATTGAGTTGAAACAATAAACTTGAGAATTCGTTTTTGTTTAACGTTAAAAGAGTTGAACGCATATTGCATTTCTGCGGCGCAGAATCTGTCGCTGATGCATCCTTATTCCTAATCATGGTTGCGATGTGTGGATAGCGTTACATTTTGGTCGCCATTTTATTAAGTGATATCTGGTTAATAATGACTTTCGTACAGTTTTTAATGTTTATCATTTATTGCCTACTAACATTAATTGAAGTTAATCAGTACACATACTTTGTATTCTGTATTAAAATTTTCAGTCGAATAAATATATTTATCCTAAAACTCTTCGTATTCATTTTCCATAATTGAAATTATTGATAATCTAATAAGGTGAATTTTTGTACGTAGTTGCTTTGTTAATAAAAATATCTATTCTGCCAGTGATTAATACATCGTGTTTTAACATGTTTATCTCTTCGCTGTGGAACCTATATGCTACAATGATAAAGAATAAAATAGAATATTACATTTCGATTTAAATTATGTTATATTTTGAAAAGAGTGGTAAAACCGTATGCTTTGTTTACTGTCTCTTTACTAAGTTACGTTATATTTCCGATATTAAAGTTGCCTATTGTTGGTCAAATAAAAAATATGTAGCAAAAAGCTACAAACCAGAGACCTAGCACTACATACTCTCATAGATGGATAAGAAACTGAACATTTCTAAAATTAATACAAAATGCGATTGCTGTTGAATTCTCAATAAAAAAAAGTAATTTTGTTCGTTTTGTTTGCATACTGTCTCTCTATTTCTCTCTTCAATCTAGCTTTTTTGCGTCTGTTTGTATGTACAAAAAAGAGTGAATCAGCAATGAGATCAGATCATCAAATTGTCTGCATTAACCCTCTTCTCCTACATACCATAATTTTCTGCGTTCTACACAGTTTCTGCGATTGGTGCCATTGATAATACTGCATGATGATCACTATTATGATTGACTGATGGATATATACATATATATCACAGTTTTCAAACGTATGTCTCTTGTGTGCTACATTGGTTACTTTTTAATTAGTGTGTTTGGTTGTACTTGTTATTTTATATGGTTAACTAATGTATGCGCACATTCGTGCGTGCTTGTGTGTCTGTGGTCTATTGTCATGTTTTTGCACATGCTGGAGTGAGCATTAACGCGCAACACACATGATGTAGACTAGTTTGTTATTTTTTCAAATGAGCTTCGATGTTCACTCATGTTTGTTTGGTCATTTCCTTCTTAATATACATTTTATTAGGATACCGGTATACATAATTTTTTTGAGAAATGGTTTTGCCTATGACAACATTTAACTGCAAAAAAGTGTATGTGTGTTAATGCCTTTAACTAAAAGGACAATGTATTTATGCAAACCCATATATGTATGTTTACAAACTGTAAAAATGTTCTGTTTGCTTATGATGTTAACGATGTGATGTATGCCCTACTCGAAAAAAAACAATACAATGATCAGTCGTGAAAGACACTTTGTTTCTAGTTATTATGTGATTATGTTTCTGTTCTTGTGTAGTACGCATGTTTAGTTAACTTCCAACACGTCAGCCGTTAACATGCTGGACATGGACACATTATTTCTAGTGTCATACGAGCCAAACAACGCATCCTTATGATAAGCCACTGTATGCAGAAGTCTCAATCTCTTTAGATCAGGTGTGCGTTTCGTTCATGATATTTTAGGGAGAAAATTTTATGCTGTCAGCAGAATTCTGTTAGGCACTCGTCGGTATCGTCCTAATGATAATATCTAACTTTACGATGTGAGACTGGAAATTCAAAATAGAGTAAGTAGAATCAGGATATATCGCAGAGTTGTAGGCAATCAAGTTTTAATCTATAAGTTAAATTCCACTACACCAGGTTATCATAATAAGTCTCAAATAATTGGAGTAAGCACATGTCTCCGAGAGTTGTATTTCATTTTATTTGATTTCGAGTCGTTCTCTATTTTTCCTGACTAATTTTTAGCATCTCGTATACTTGAGTCAGAATCAATTCTACGACTTGGGAGCATAGGAATCAGTTCATTTTTGGGAAGTTTGCCACTCTCCACATGTAAGCTAAGAGCAACCTAGCAATGCTCGTTCTTATTATGACAAAGCTTTTTTCAGTAAGTAGTTTATTTTAAATCATTGAAGAGAAATACATCACCGAAAGATTTTCACTGCCTTAGGCCATATTTACGAAATTATCACCAGTGATCCGTTTGAGTGATGGTCAAACAGCGCGTAACTAGAGACTATTTCGATTGTTTCACTGCTAGATTTATATATCTGGAAACAGCGCAGCACTGATATATATGTATATATGTTTCACCAGTCAGTATAGGTGCCAAAAATACTTTGAAATTGAAAAAGGACCTCTAAATGCAGAGATATGTGTACAATCTCTTGATTAGTCGAATTAAAACAATGCAGTGAATTGGTTTAATGAAATATGTGGTCTAGACTGTTAGAATATCTGTTCACAACAAACTAAATATGTCTTTAATATATGCAACTACAACTCGTAAGAAAGATAATTGCCAGTCTCTTTCCAAAGAATATCTGTATGATGCTTATGGATGTAGTAATATATAATGATTGTATTGACCATCTTGTTGGAAAAAAAACACGAATTAAATCATCTGACTTTTTTATGTAGTACATAACTGATTGCGCGTATGTTTCCTGAACTGTTCTAGTTATTATACAGCGATAGGTTTCATGTAGGATATATATCCCATAATTTTTTTTACTCTGCATAACAATTAAGGATTTCTTAACTAGGCACTAATTAGCATAGAGTTATTGTTTATGTATATATGGGTAACACCATATACCCTAAATCACGGAGAGAATTATACCATAAGGTACTGAAGCTATTTAGAGTTGTTTTTATGTATGAAGCATATTCCACTTACTGTGTATACGTATACATTTAGAAAAATAGAAGTTATTGATTGGAGTGTTGTTTGACGTGTTTATTAAGTGAACTGATGCTCAAAAATACTCTTGTTTTTTTTCGCCATGAACTAGAGAGTGTTTATTTATCTGCGTGCGTGTTGGAGACCATAGATTTAACTTGAAAATTGATGAAAGAAATCCAGTAGCTAAAAATAATCATATTGTAGAACAGGATGGAACTTGCTAAAAATTCCATGTTTTTTATTTCTGTGATAAGAACATTTGTGAACATTGCTGTTCATGATTAGAAATATGCATAAAAGAGAAAGAAGCAGTAAGGTGTCTTTTCTGTACTTAGTCAATCGTGCAAAACTAACTTGATATGTTGTTTGAGTGGTATGAGTTCCTGCACATTGTTCAGGTTACTTGTATCTTGACAAATTATCCGCTTTTTCTACAAAACATATTTGATTCGTCAACAGTATCTCATAGGCACTTTTAAGTTGTAATAGTTATAGTTACTGTAAAGTATTCAACCTCAAAAGCTTTACAATTGAATTTAAATGTAATATATATTCACACAATGAATTTTTTTCTTAACATGGTTTCTTTGATCATAAAAATTATCACCCTGACTATTCTTATGCATGTATGCTTCAGACCGTGAAGAATGAAGACCGATTACTGGACCCTAGGAGATCTGAATTTAGCGGATGATTTGTGTCCAATGTCACATAAGTTCAAAGACCTACCGGTGAAAACCAAGAGGTTTGCTGAAGAGGCAGACAATAAAGACAGGACTTGAAGTAAAAATAGAAAAGATAGAGATGATTAAGGTAACTAACCAACCAACAACAAGCACCGAACACTCAACAGAGGATATTTGAAAAGGTCACTTCCACTACTAACCTAGCCAGGTAGCATCGTTTCAACTACAGGCACGCCGAACGGCTGAGGATGTCAAAACCAGAATCGAAAAAGCAAGTCGGTCCCTCATCACTATGAAATCAGTTTGTAAAACTGATGCACTCCTCAGCATAAGGAAGAAAATTGTGATTTCTAACACCAGCGTGAATTCAAATCTGTATGAGTCGGAGACTTCGTGTGTCATGAAAAGCATTTCCAACAGGTAGCTGCAGACTTATATCTACAGCTGCCTTCACTCTATACTTAATATCAGATATTGATCAATAAAGGATTAGTAACCAAGAACTCTGGGGACGAACCAGGCAAGAAAAACCTGGTGCTCAACAAATATGTGGAGGAAAGTGAAATTTGATTGGAGGCCATTGGATGGCATCGAGCGGAACCAGGGTGGAAAACAAGGAGTTAGGGGTCCAAGGGTGACATGGAGGAGATCGTGTGTGTAGGAGAGGCCCTGTTGAGGCTCTATTTCTCACTCGCAATCCAAGTGAATAATAATTCTTATTGGAACTTGTCCACTATCAACTCCCAACGGTAAATACTGTTTGATCAATTGTTGCTTCTTACAACATACCGAAAATACATGTAATAAATTTTAGTCCATAATCTATTGCGTTCATATGCACCTGATAATGAGCCATCCTGTTTATTTAGGCTGTTCAAAAGTCAGGAAGTGGAGCACAGTTCAAACAATTGACCTGATAATGAGAAGTTAAGCGTTAAAATCTTTGAGCTATAGTTATACTCTTATATTTAATTAGGAATAAACACTCAGTCCCGAAAACTTTGTTTGGTTTAGGCCACAAAGATACAATCATAGTCTTTGAGAATGTGGGAGTAATTTTTTCATTGCTTAGTCATCTGTGACTCCTGATGTACAATCGTCTTTCTACATCCCATTCCCTAGGGTTATCGAGTCTACAAACATGTTTCTGTTCAGTCAGTTTTCTTCTCTTCAAATCTTAATTTCTAACCTTCAGGTCTTCATTATTTTGTTGCATTTGTTTTTTTTATACCGAAATGTTTTGTTGTGTGTTACGTAATCTCTGCTTTGATATTATTCTCCTTGCTTCAACGCAGAAGTAATTGTGGTTGAATGGATTAGGTGTGAACACCGATAAAGTTTAGATTTTATAGTGTAGCCTTTAAAAATGGTAATATAGCACATAATTTTACTTAAGTTTGACTTTCTTGAACACTTTGGAATTCCATGATACGTATACCTGTCGTCTTTAGATTTGCTGTTGCTTACAGACGGCGTCCTCTACAGGTTGAGATGAGCAAACTGAAAGCACCGACTACCTACAGAGTGAGTTAAAATTGAGGCTGGATAACAACTGTCCAAATAGGATAAATGAACACTAGCTGCACCTGTAAGGCGTCATGTAGATGGCGATTAGACCGATTGTGGCTTATGAGAATGCTCCTCTAAAATCTACTGGTTTTCTGCGAGTTCTATGAAACTTCTGAATGAGTGCCGGTCCATTTCTAGAGATAGGAAGTAACTGAGAAAGGCAGTTGCGCGTAACTTTAAACAGATTTTTTCGTAAGGACCGCAAAGCCTGATGGTTAGGACGTGCGTAGGAGTCAGATGGCACCCGAATAACTAGCCCGAAAAGACAGCTGAAGCACTGGACAGAACACTTCGGGAAGCAGTTTAGTTGGTCAACAGCGCCAGGATCCAACGTCATTAACTATCAGTGCTCCATGGTGAGTCAATACTGACACACTAAACGTAAGGACCTACAACTGTCGAAACCGCTACAAGGCACCCGGCGCCGGTTGTTTTTTTAAAGATGGTGGCGGAATTCTCGTCAGGGCTTCGACTGGTTTATTCAGGAAAACATGAGAAAATGAGAATGTTCCATTAATTAGTGATTAAGCCATTATCGTTATGGCCATAGGCGTATAAGTCTACTGCCACTCATTTGCAAAATATCGGCTGCTATCTTGAGGAGGAGGAGGAGGCAGGGTTTCGTCCAGCC